CTATCTATCTATCTATCTATATTAATTTGTTAATTCTATCTATCTATCTATCTATCTATCTATCTATCTATCTTAATTTGTTAATTCTATCTATCTATCTATCTATCTATCTATCTATCTATCTATCTATCTTAACACTTCTTATATATATATATATATATATATATATATATATATATATATATATATATATATATATATATATATTACACCAGGTGTAACAGCAAAATTCCTGTGAAAACAAGGTTTTCATTGGCCCAAAGAAAATTTCACTCATTCATCCACTATAGAAGCCATTTTTGTTCATTGATCTGAGAAAACGGTTGTATACATCAGTTTAAATATTTCTGAACGTGTTTGGCGCCATTTAAAACTCTTGATCTGTCGACGCTATACTGGACAATAATTAATAATAAATGTAGTTAAAGTCTGAAGTATTTTGAATTTCTTAAATAAATTAAACCCTAACCTAACCGTAACCCTATCTATCTATCTATCTATCTATCTATCTATCTATCTATCTATCTATCTATCTATCTATCTGAGTCTCTTCTTATCATTTTATCTATGTCACAGCACTTGATATTCACAAATAGTCATCCATCTGATCAAACTCGACGTTGCTTAATTAATTACGGTGACCATATGAGAACCGATGATTCAACGTGATATGACGGTAAGCCTCTCTCTCTATATATATATATATATATATATATATATATATATATATATATATATATATATATATATATATATATATAATAAATACATATATATATTTGGATTATCATCATATAGAACTCACACTCTTTGGGTCCGCCTTTATCCACTAGTTAAGGCAGTGGAGAACTTTGAGAGGGGAATTAACAGGAAATAACTGATAACTGGCATCCATCAGGCATGGGACGTGGAACTAGAACAGTCTACACCATTGAGCGAAATAAAGGGTTCAGTTCAACCACCTGAAGAACGTTGTAATAAATATGGCGACAAAGATGAGGATAATAGTCCGAATAATGTAAATAATATACATAATACCTCATCTCTGAAATATAGACAAATAATAAACACAGTAAGAAGAACATAATAAAAGAATACAGGAAAGAAATGCAAGACAAGACAACCATAAGAAAAATAAAGCAAGACAGGTTATGCTTAAATGGGAGACAGTCAAATGATTATTGCCTTCTGAAAGGCAAGAAAGAAAAAAATGTGTGGGTAAAACTAAGAATTGTCTATTTTTATTGAAGAAGAAATCCCATCATGCATCTGTAGGATTTTTATCTATATATCTGAGGAGGGAGATTTTTAGCAATCTTCCCACCAAATTGGAGATTCGTCTCCAGCTGTACTAGTCAAGCTCTCTGCCTTCGCGCAGAGAGGAATCCAGACGAGGCTATGCCGAAGAGCAGTGTCTCGTCTGGGGATTCCGTTTTTTACGGGGTCTACGGGGAATTTTTGTCCGAGTCTACGGGCTCGGACATCCCACGTTAAATTCGGCCTTGTGCCACATCTGACCGCGTGGGGTGGTTGACAAATATCCTTCCCACCAAATTGGAGCCAGCAGTTGTCAATAATCAGGAAAGCATCACTGATAGAATGAATGTAACCCCGAAAACCATGCTTGTAATAAATTAACAAAGCGTTAGTTTAATTTTAGTTAAATTTCAGCATTTTTACCCCATCATCTTCAAAATATACTTTAGCATATCATTATATAAAGATTGCATATAAAGCCTAAAATCATTATACACTTTTATTTTTATTTTTTAATTTATTTATTGTGCGTGTGTGTATGCGTGTGTACACAAACATCTGCAGAAGTGGGCAAGATTAAGATTATCCATTGGGACTTGAAGATACAGTTAATCTCTCAAGGTTCTTTACCAAATGTCTTATTTAAAAACTTTATGCTGCCATATTCTCAGGCAAGTCAATCACACCCAGTGACCCTGAAATTCGCTCAAAATCAATGCTATCAAATATTTTTATTTCCAAATTTATGCGTAGAATTTGATTCGTGGAAAAGACGCCGAATCAAAAATGAACAAAACAAATATTCAAAGGAGGGGAAAACGTGAAAGAGCAAAAGAAAAAAAAATGTATTTCCCGTCATGCACTACAGCAAATCGTCACGTGACACCATAAATTATATTTTTTTTCAATTAAATGGAACTTTGTTGATTAGCACTGGAATTTCAAAATAATTAGTTTTAGGATGAAAATACGACCGAGAAGACATCAGCTTGTTTCTCCTTTTGTTTTGTTTTCAAAATCGTTTTCTTTCTTTCTTTCTTTCTTTCTTTCTTTCTTTCTTTCTTTCTTTCTTTCTTTTATTCCTCGCTTTTCTTTCTTGCTAATTCGATTTCGAAATCGTTCTTTCTTTCTTTCCTTCTGTTTTTCTTTCTTTCTTTCTTTCTTTTTCTTTCTTTCTTTCTTTCTTTCTTTCTTTCTTTCTTTCTTTCTTTCTTTTATTCTTCGCTTTTCTTTCTTTCTAAATCGATTTCTAAATCGTTTTTCCTTTCTTTTTTTCTGTCTTTCTTTTTATCTCTTTCTTTTTTCTTTCTTTCTTTCTTTCTTCTTATCGTTCTATCTTTCTTTTTTGTTTTATTCATCGCTTTTCTTTCTTTCTACCTTTTCATCTCTCACATTATTATTTTTCTTTCTTTCATTCCTTGTTTCTTTCTTTCTTTTTTCTTTCTTTCTTTCTTGCTTTCTTTCTTTCTTGCTTTCTTTCTTTCTTGCTTTCTTTCCCCACCAAATCTACACCACTACATCTCAGTTTAGTATTCATATAAAACACAGATTTTATTCTAACCTAATTATGTACAATAATGGATCATATGCGATATAGGTGAACAATTCAGCTAGAAAAATTGAAAAGAAATACAATGTATCTAATTACAAATTAGAGCCATGTCATAATAGATCGTTCCATCTTAAATAAATCAACAATGTTTTGTGGAAATTTTTAACATCAATGGGAGATTTTTCTTGAAAGTTGAATAACTTAATACATAAAATTTTATAAAGTGTTTTTTCAAGACTTAGCATGAACAAAACAAATTCATGAATTTGGACAAAATCAAATCACTTCAAAATGACGTCAAAATCCGCTAAAATATTTCATCCTTTAATAGTCAGTTATGTTTAGTTTAATTTGTAAAGTAAAATGTAGGTAGAAAAAAAGCAAATGTTGATAAGATATCAAAGGTGACAAAGCACTGCCGGGGTCGAAGGATTTGGGGGTAGTACGAGTCTGTCTGTGGATGACAATTAAATATATATATATATATATATATATATATATATATATATATATATAGGTAACTATACTCGTTTCGAAAAACCCTCGAATTTTTGATTTGCCAATAATCAAATCAATCTCGAAGGAAAAAAAGGTTTTAAAAAAAGAAAGAGCTAGAACCTTGAAAGTCTGTCGAAAAAAATCGCACAGATACAGGTTTAAAGCCCAAAGAAAAAACCCTGATACGAGTAAACAACTAAGTAACAAAGAGCTCAATACAACCGTAGAGCAGACCTAGATAAAGTTAGTGAACCAGACAAACCTACCTAGGTTTCACCTAAGCGGATCGTCAGGGAAAGCTGGCTAAAGAGGCAAAGGGAAACGCATATTTATAGGCGATAATCAAAATCATACCATGTGACCAAAGAAAAATAAAAAACAAGAAAAAACACAAGAACACCGGTGGGGGGGTTACTATATATATGAGTAATGAAAATATTGGTAATAATTATGGATAATCCCAAGGAGGATGAAATCCAGAGAGCTCAATGTTAAATCAGAGTGGTTAATTTATGAAAACATATATATTTATTTATTTATAATTATATATATATATGTATATAACGAAAACAGACAACTTTAAGGGTCCATTGCTTATAATTTATTTCCCCTCAAAAGCGTAAAAAATATATAATTTAAATTCATTTTTTCACCCTTGGAAGTGTGGTCTGATGAGCCAGGGAAAAAGAAATTCCCTGGGGAAATAAATTATAACCAATGAACCCTTAAAGTTGTCTCTTTGGGCATCAACCGGGAGGAGATTATGTTGAAAATTATTTTGTAAATAACTCCTGGTTCCTCATTATGTTGGGAACTATATATATACAGTGTTAAGAATGTGTATATAAATATAAATATAAATGCATATATAAAATCAGACACACACACACACACACACACACACACACACACACACACATATATATATATATATATATATATATATATACACATACATACACACACTTATTTATTTGACACATACTTATGTGCATACACACTATATATATATATATGTATATGCATAGACATATATTTACACATTTTATTTTCTTAGTGCCTTTACATTCTACATTCTCTCCCTCTCTTTCATCTATCTATCTATCTATCTATCTATCTATCTATCTATCTATCTATTTACATTTGGATTTATGATTATCTATCAATATACATTATATATATATATATATATATATATATATATATATATATATATATATATATATATATATATATATATATATATATATATATATATATATATATATATATATAATATAAAAAGTTATTGGTCAGTGTTAAAATAGGCCAGGAAACAGCAGTATTAAAAAAAGTACTCAAGACACATATAAAGAAAATAAAATAAAAATTTAACATTTAATGGTAGAGATTTTAAATTTAAAAAATTTAGCCCGAACCATCTGAAGATGAAACCAAGGTAGCGTGATCGGCTGATCTCCTAGTTTTATATATATATATATATATATATATATATATATATATATATATAATAGAGAGAGAAATAAATGTGTATGTTTATTTATGTAGATTATATTCAAATGTGAATATGCGTGTGATAGTTTCACTGTATTTTTTGGTATATTTTCATCTGTGTGTGTGTACGTGTGTGTGCGTGTTTCAGTTTGTGTGTTTTGTAAGCCAGTCTACGTGTTGTTTAAAGCTGATCATCACA